TATCGCAGTCATCCCGAAACAACAAAAAAGTCTCCAGAATTCGGGGACTTTTTCGTATATTTTCACAGTTCAATTTATCCGTCTGTGAGTGAAAAGCTCAGGACGCCCAGGAAGATTGAATCTCATCTACTAGGATGTGCTTATACTCCCATCGGAGATAATCAAATACAACTTCTATACAAATACTAAATGGTAGTAGAGTACTGTAGTATCGAAGATAGTGTAATAACAGTCTTATCCTAATTTCCAAATAACGTTAAAAATGTTACTTGTAATGAAATATTACTATTGAGTAATATTGTTATAAATGTAAGTTTTCCAAAATAATTACCGAATAACATATATAGAAAATTCTTCAAAATCGTTACCATAATTTCGTATAATTACGAACATTAAGTCGGAATGTATCACACATAAGTTATACTATCAAATACAACAGCAACCGATTCGTACTCACCCACGAATTTAACAACAGCAGAGTACATATGATGAGGAAAACAGCGAGCTCACTTTTGCAGTTGTTCCAGATTCCGTCGTAAATCTTTCAACCCATTTTCATCTATCCGAATTTCTGTCCGTAATTGTCGCAACTTCCCCTCGAGTTTGTTTGTCATATTACCACACTCTCCTGAAAACCAAACCCCCACCAGAATTCCCCCGTTTTTCGTGGAATAATACTCGCGATATTCGCGCTATGCAGTAGTCGTGGAATATATTTTTCACTAGTGTTTAAATCAAATATCAAATTATGAATTCATCGTTAGAATTGAATATTTATTACCATAAATTCCACAAAACTATACCGGAACGACAGAGAACTCGCATGTGTTACGACGATGAAAAATGCCATGCGTAAACCGAACGTAACCAAGCCACATTCACGTAAGATGCTACTGCTGCTGCATCGTCATTGTCGCTGTCCCAGCCCCCCATAGCACACAATGGAGTTTCACCACCCTAGTGATATGAAAAACATATTTCACGACTACTGCATATCACTGCGAATATCGCGTTTTTCACCGAGCAATACGCCACTTCACGTAAAACGGGTCGTGAAACTGCAATATGTCTCTCAAAGGTGAAGGCTTTCGTCAGCTAAGCTTATGATGATGATACTCCTCGTCGGCTAAGTATGAACAGGCCTTGCAAGGCATTCTTGTGCAACTATCTCCACGGTAGTGTTATCTCAATGAGAAAATCACTAATATTCAAATCATGGACTCATCGTGTAGAACTATCAACGATTGATAAGAAAGCTGGCGATATAAACTACTCAATGCTTAACTACAGGGTGTAGTGTGAGGGGGAAATATGCACATGGTCAACTACATGTGTCGGTGACGATATGAAAATTCCGAGAAATTTTGCGGAATTCTCGCGCACTTCTACCCGAATTTCCACCATTAATGATAAACCTCCTCACCTCAGCTGAGGAGAGCGAACATACATTCCTCCAACACTGTCACGAAAATTCCCAGATTTCAAGAGTTGTGCCCCTCAGAGGAATAAGGAGAGTTCTCGATGATGCCGAATATTATGAAGCCATCAGCGTACCTCCGGTCCTTCTCATGAGCTCACCAAAACTCCTCGATTTTCGCAGGAGTCTTCCCGGTTCCTAAAACACATAAAATTCCCCCTGTATATGTTGCTTTCGTGAGCATGTCAAGAGAACGACCAAGTGCTATGCACTTCCCCACATAATTCGATAAAAATATAAACTCAGGTACTTCTAAGAAATTAGCAATCGCGCGCGAGTAATAGATAATAGGAGTATGGGCACTAAACCTAGTGCAAACATTCACTCCCGAATTTTCACCTCGCGTACGCCACGATGATTTTCGAAGTGACCATTATTCTCATCGCATCATTCGAGGACAACGATAATTATCAATATCGTTGATTTCTCATTATTCGTGATTCTCATCTGAAATTAGTCATATATGCCAACTACAGTTGTCGAAGGACCAATTCCCCTCCCAGCACCTACACAAGTAGAGCCGCTATATTTAGACATGGTACTCAAACAGAAACAACAACTCCCATACCACACCTCACCCAAATTAACAAACAAACAACCAAGAGGAGTCGAATCTGTATATGATAGGTGCGCTAGCTGATAAGCGAGGGCGTAGCAATGATAACCATCATTCGTCCAACAACAATATCTTCCTCACGATTCATCAGGCTGAAAGAACAGCATAATATCAAATCGATCACGTGATCGATTATGATACTTACGATGTGATAGTTCTCAAGTGGCTTGAAGTACGGATGTAACATTGCTTCCTTCGGCAGAATACGCGAAGCGTGGTCGTACCGTAACATTTTATCCAACAAATCGATCGATTCATTGGATACCTAAGAAGATCATATAACCATATAAGACATATATTGGAGCTTCGCCACCCTAGTGATATGAAAAATACATTTCACGACTACTGCATATCACCGCGAATATCGCGTTATTCACCGAGTTTCACGCCACTTCACGTAATACTGGTGAAACTTCATTATATATTACTCTTCATATAGGAGTATTTTAGATTATATATTATATATAATTTTTCCCAATTCCAACAATGACATATCCAATTCTACTGGAAACACGTATAAACATTTGCATGATACTCTCATACACATATAACCAGCCTAAAATACAACCAATATGTTATATATTGGTGTTAGATAAAAACGTATACCGTAAGTAGTATTTATTTAGGAAGGTCATTAATATTTCGGGTAATAAGTGCGTGTCAATTTGATGTGAAAATGTAGGCAACATCGTATATCCTTGTCACGATACTTTTCAATAGCTTTTCACCCAAATTCTGCAACTGTTCTCTAAGCACAGTCAGAACCCTACTAAAACCACCACCGACAGAAACAACAAAAATGTAATAGTAGTCCTTCCCCTCCTAAACGCGCCCCCCCAAAACTACCAAATGTTGATTCTCCGCTGTGATGAACTTCTGCCAGGGCTTTCGAGGGTGCCTCCCGAGTATGTCGTCAAAGTTGGGATCCAAATCTGACAAAATGCACTCACCCAGAATAGAACCCCCGACCTCTCCAATGACAACCAAGATCCTTAACCACCAGACTACCTAGGTCATACTTGTCCAGATACTCAAACAGCTCGTCTGTCCCCAATACACGGGCGATCTTCACCAATTGATCGTAGTTGTCATGACCTAAACACTCCTCCTCACATCAAGAACTTCTCAACCTCAAAAATCGCCTCAAAATTCATCACCGTCCACCCGAGGTTGTTCGATACCAGCAAAGTGATGAAGAATATATACAGTTGCGGAGCATATACCACAACAACGGGCACTTTCGCGTTGTGCATGCGTGCAGAATTATTCTGGCTTAACTACGAAGCATGGGAGGATATCAGATAGATCAAACGACTCCTCTATATGCGGAGGTGTTGGGGAAAATCGGAAAACTCGATTATGCGAGCAGCTCGAAGAGATATGCACGAAAAACTTTAATGATGGAGAAATGTCCTACCCGGGGATCGAACCGGGGACCTATGTAAAATTCATTGATTGAGTCCATGGACGTGGACTCAAAGAGCTCCGCCCCTTCGTCACGAAGGCCTAGTGTTAAAAGAATATACGTTCGCTTTCCTCAGCTAACCTCAGCCGTTCTCTCACTAACCATACGAGATGACATACAGAAAATTTCTCAGAATTTTTACATTGTGACCAGCACACAGAGTTGACCATATACATATTCTCCCACGCCACCGTCCGAGCTCCCGAGGACAGCTCCTCATCATCCAAGTTGCGTAAAATCAATCAAACTACTTCCCCCTCTTTCTTAAATTCGAGATATCCATATTTGAGATCTTTGCAAATTGTTGATTATTCACAAAAGATTTCCAATTTTTTTCCAATTTTTCCCAAACTTTTCCCAAATTTTCCCTTCAATCACTCACATCCACTTCACGATCTCCTAAAATTACAATACACTTTCCCATCCAATTGACCCACCATGGAAGAACGGCTCCCTCCTAAATGTCATCCCAGCAAGCATACATCCAAGACTCCACATATCGAGAGAGTAATCATAATTTTGTAGGTCTACCAACAGCTCAGGCCCTTTATAATATCTATAACCAGTGTTGAAATATATGCTCAGTTGAGCCCAGAAGTTTCCTCACTAATTATAGAAGTCTACACATGAATGCCGTCTAACTTTACAAAAATCAATGACAATTTCCTCATAATCTTCGCACTGTCACCAACATATATGGTTGACCATATGCATATTTTTCCACAATGCCTATAACACTCAAAAATAACTACAATATTTTCTAAACACACGAATATGTTAATCATAATCTATAAAATTTTTTCATCATATCACTCGAGATATATCCACAATATATAATATTTCATAATCAGAGTAATAGTTATATAAATTATATAATTTTTTCATTTAGCATCACTTCTTTCACCAGGCTGATAGGAGTATGTCTGCGAACAGCAGCTCCGAAATGAATAACCGAGCCTTGATATATGTACGGCAACTATTTCACGAGTATAGTATATGTATACATTCTGCCGGAGAAAAATGATATTAATAATTATATTAAAATGGAGTTTCACCCGTTTTACGCGAAGTGAAATGTGAAATGTGTTTTTCACTAGTGTTTTTCACATCACGGGTGAGACTCCAATATATCTATATTGCATCGCATGATCAAAGAAGAACCCCTATCATTTTCACCTGCTCGCCACTCGCACGTTGTATTCCTTGTGAGGGTGGTAGAACTCAGCCAATCCCCAATCGATCAAGCGCAGCTTACGATGAGCATGATCTAAAATGGGAGAAAACTGCAAGGTGCCGGGATCGAACCCGCGACCTACCGATCATTATATTGTGAGGCTTCACATCCCTATGCATTATTCCCTGCGAGTGGCAGAAATCCAAGGCCTTCAATATCTCCCGCATATAATACCTAAATCACTTACGCGCTCGCCATTCTAATCGATATCCCACCTAATGTCCATATCCGTCAAAGTAGGGTAAAGCGTTTTGAAGTCGGTGTTATCAACATACTCAAAGACCTGAGGGAAAACAAAGGGAATATAAATATACGAGCTCATTGAAAATACTTCAGAAAATACTACTACACAGAGATAGCAATCACTGATAACTATACTTACAACCTACCAATATGATGATGAGGAATCCAAGCAGGGAAAAAATCCAATTTTTTCGAGAAAAAATATAAAAAC